AGTGAAGATAGCATAAATAAGTTAATCTTTTTAATAATAAATTGAAATAATTGGAAGTCAAGTAAATCGCATATTGAATTTTCGAATGTATTTGTACCGCTTTTTTGCGAGCTCATAATTTAAATGAAAAGTTTTATGCAAAATTTTCCGTGATTAGTGTCAAGCGACACCATCAATCATAGTTTTGCTCAATTCAAAGATTCCACTGCAAAAAGAAGTTAAAAAGTTTTTTTCAGTTTGTAATGTTCCATTTTAATAACATCTGAATCACCTAAGAATAAATTGGTCGAGTAAGCAAATTTTCGTGGAGCAAAAATTCCATTTAAAACAGTAAAGCATTCTTTCAAAGCTTTTCCAGTCTATGATTTATTCACCCCAAAGTTTAAGAATCACGGCACAATCATATCCGAAAAACCCAGCCTATCTCAACTGCACCTTAAAACACTTAGCTGTACCGTTGAGTACTAGCGATAAATTTGGAATAAACATTGGTATAAGAACAATTTTATTGAAAAGATAGACTCAATATTTGGACACATATAAATCTTTTCACAGAACCCTGACAACAGCAGGGTAGCAGTTGATTACATTACATTTACCAATGAAAGCTTAATGCAGCGCAAATTTAACTTCTGGTTCTTTATTTTTCACTCAGATATGATAAAAATATTAAATCGAAAGTTATTTACAAAAATGTAGTAAATCTTTTAAAAATCGCGCATCTCAGCAACTAGTGCTTCCGAAATTCCGCTCAGCATGTGTTCCAGTGGAAGTGACGAAATGGATTATTATTTGCAAAAAATGGCTCGGGATATGCATAATCACTACAGGTAAAAAATGAGACTATTCGCCCTATATTAACTTTCAAAAGTTTTTTTTTTCTAGAAGACTCGTGGCAACTGGATGGGCTAAGGATAATCAAGGGTACGCTCCACCAGCAAAAGCAATGCAACAATTGGTGGGAGAAAAACTTTACGAATAATAAAAAAATTTATTTATGACAAACATTCAGAGTTACGATTGTGACACCATTGGAGAGTCCTCTAAAAGCAAAGCTGATTGCGATTTGAATTCTTATACTGCAGATACTGATTTCTCGATAAACTACTTCATATATGATAAGGTTTCAAAGGAAGAGGCTCTTCAGAAGGTAAAAGTCTAT